AAGATTAAAAAAAAAAAAAGATTATTGAACTCTATACAACTGCACAACACACTTCAACTGAAACTGCGGCTATAAAGGTAATGTGCAGAATGTTGGCTACACACTTAAAAAAGATGGTTCTTTAGTAAAACCAATGGTTTATATAGAACCACGAACACTCAAAGAACTATTCGCATGATCAAATGGTTCTTTGCACAGTGAAATGATTCTTCAGATCGATAGAGAATGTGTTGTATATATTTCTATATAGAACTATACGCTGATATCTCGGTAGGTAGCTAGCTAAATTTCCCGTTCCACCTTAAATGTTGCAGCAGTTACATTCTGGTGCCTCAGGGCGTCAGAACTACTGCAACATTTAAGGTGGAACAGGAAACTTTGAACAAGAAGCTGGCAAAAAGTTGACTTCAGTTTTATATCACTGCAGAATTAGGGGTGGGCGATAATACATAATTGTCACATCCCCCCTCTTTGAAGGCATATGATTCTCTAAATGCAACTAAAGCCCAGCAGTGAGGTTGCTGGACTTTACTCCTCCTCTGCTGTCTCTAAAGACTGGCAGGGTTGCCTACAGAGCACCGCTAGCAGCCTGTTAATGAAGTAATGTTCTTTTTTATTTGAGGGTGGTCCCATTTTGAAGGTTGTCCTATTTAATCTTTTGAGGTTTTTTTCTAGCCAGTTTTTTTTTTGCCTTTTTTCTCCTTTGGACAAAAACTGAAAGTTTTTTGATGATTTTCAGCTGAAATTTCAGTGCATGCCTATTTTAATGAACTACACTGGAATCGAAAGGAGTTTAAGTCCCTTGAATTGAAGCGAAGCTCCTTCCTGCATTAAACACTGTTAGTCCAGCAGGTGGTCTCTTCCTCAGCACAGCAGAGTGTGACTGTAACTATTTTAAAGGTGCATAGGTACTTACAGATGAATCCTTTAACAGACGTTGTGTCCGGCAGGATTATGATTTGCCAGTCTTGCAGAATTTTTACCAGTGAAATATCAGTATCTACCAGCTAACGGAAAACCTACCCTATATATATGTAAGTTTTGCACTTTAACCTCACAGTCAACATGAGGTTGGCCTGTTTTTTCATTTCAAAGCCCAAAGTGCTGGTGCACAGAGCCAAACCACCAAAACTCATGCTACTTATCCAACCGCTGACACACTGCACTGTATATATTCAGTTTCACACCCTGCTGACATCATTGCTTACACATGCATGCACAGACGGATATCAGAAATCCCTCACTCACATATGTATATACACACATACACACGTTCTTTAATATCTGCAGATGCCACTTCAGTCTGAGTGGTGAGTCATTGCTACTTCTAAATGAAGCCTGGACACGCTATCCCTGAGTCAATCTGCGCCAATCAAAGTGTTACTAACAAACACAAGACAGGACAGTTTGGTTTATGTATGCTGAAAGTTTAGCGATTAAATTATGCCCTAATCACTATACAGCACACTATAAAATCATGATTACTGTCACAGAGTGATGAAAAATTTATAGTTGTACAAAATCTTTTACTCTTAATCATAAATTGTTTGTCTGTCAAATATTCAAATTAGAGATTGACAAAGTTAACATGTTAAAAATGAATTTATGACCTAAATTTTACCATCATTATTTATTAATGCTGTTAATTTTTAATGACATTTTCCTGGTTTTACCCTTAAATCATCTGTAGTACGGCAGGCTGAAGTCCAGCTGCTTGTGCACTGTATGTTGCTATGATAGACTCTACAATTGAAGCTCTCTCATTCAAATACAGCATTTACAAGGCTTCAGCAGGCTATGCCAGACAGTGCTCACTGGAGCACTTTGGATAAACTAGCGAGCAGCAAGCTAACACAAGCAACAGCAAAGTGGAAAGCCACAGTTCTCCTCAAGAACCTCGACAAGCTGCATGAACAAGAATAAGTGCGAGAGGCTCCAACCGAGAAGTCGGAACCATCGACTGTATATTTGACACATACGACATATGCAATGACTGTTTGGAACATGCAGCCACTGCTGCTCTCACTGGGCTACTGAAATAACATGATTTTCATGTTCAGTCTATGTGAACCCTTAATCGATTAACAAGACAAAAAATGCAATTCATCATGAACAATTACTTTAATCTGGAAGTGCCAATTTGAGTATTTTTCTAAGCTGCTGGATGTTTGCAAATATTCCCACACATTTGAATATCTAAAATAGATTGGTGTTGTTTTTGTTGGTTTATGGTCAGCAATGGTATATCACTTTGGTATTATAATATTTGGTAATAATGTTACTCCTGGCTTGAAAAATATTAGGGATCACAGCACAGGCTTTTAAACATGTGAATGGACATTTTTCACATTCAAATGCATCAAATATTTGAATTTCATGTTATTTTGACAACTGTACTATTTACTACATACTACTTTTTACAACTGTGATCAATAACATGACATTGTTAAAGACAGGACTGCATTATTTTTGAAGTGTGTTGAATTACATGAATGCCTTAATTCATCAAATCACCCACAGAAGCACTAATGTGGAACTGTGACTGGCACAAGTGCACTGTGATTGGTTAGTGGGCTCATTTGCATATTGCATCCTTCTGTTATATCAGCAGTTAACAATTAACATACGATATATTGTGCAGTCCTATTTCCCAATATAGAGAACAGAGATTAAAGCACTGCATATATCTTCAGCAGCAGAAGTGTGGAAAATGTAAGGTTGTCTGGTTGCTCCCTCTCACTCCTGACAGGCTTTTTCTTCTCTTAATGGCGATTAGTTTGTCTCTGGTGTGCTCAGACGCTGGAAATGCTTCAGTGCTTCTCTCTCTCTCTCTCTCTTTTTCTGTCTGCCTTACCAGCGCTCTCGTGCAAAAAGGACCTTTTATCTGGGATGCTCTGTTCAGCAGAGGCGGCTGATACACTGAGGTGTTTTAGAAAACAGCAAACACGATCCGTGAGAGGATTTTCTGTTTTTCTCTGTTTCTAATGCGATTTTTTTCTCCATTTTAAGGACTGGTTTAGCTGAAAATGTGTATTCAGCATTAAAACGCACACACATATCAAGTTTACTGCATATCTCTGAGCATCCCATGCAGCATATATAACACACACGTCTTTTTTCCTGTAATCTGCATCTATGTAAAGCCCTGCATCCTCAAGAGGCCACCACATGCTGCAAAAAGAGAGAGGTTCCTTGCAATAAATAAATAATGAAATTAATAAATAAAACACTCTGTTGGCTGTTGCATCTGTAAACATACAGGATGTTTCTACTGAAGCTGGAATACAAAAAGGCAAAGAACACGTGCTATAAAAAGAAAGAAATAAGAGAAAATGGAAGAACACGAGGCTCCTCCCTGGGGAGCACCCGACAGTGTTGTTTGAATTAGGGAGCCATTTTGTGCTGAGCTGTACAGAACCGACACAAAGGCAGATAAATAAGGCAAGTCGGAAAACAGGAAAAAACAGATTAGACTAAACGTGCCCCCCTCTTCTCTTTCATTCTCTCCTCCCCCTTTTTCCCTTTTTCTCTCTCTTTCTAGTCTGCAGCTGGCAGCTGGCTAACCTGTCTATAAGCCTGAAGAGGCCTAAAGCACGCCTGTCAGCCTCTGATAAAACAGCTCCAGTCTCTGGGGTCTTCCTTCTTTCAGCTCCAGTCCGACACCACAATGACTAAAGAATGAGACCCCTTACTGGCTTAATGAAGCGGCTCACAATGAAACACTATATGACACAATGAGTGTCAATGAGATCATATAGGATCCAGTTTTGGCCTTAATATGAGGTCACCACTGAACAAAATACTAGTGTTATGATTACACTGCTGCAAGGGCTGCAAATATCTAATAGTTTTGCTTTTGAATATTCCATCGGATAGTCTTGAATATTCTATGAGAATCAGTGACAAAATGAAAAATGTACTGTTTATTTATTTATTAACAAAATGTACTAAGAGGTAATGGGAATACAATACTAATAAACATTTATTGTCATTTCAAGTAGTTTAAAAAGCTATTCCAATGGATCTTGCCCAACCTGGCAACCCAGCCCACGCTGCTGAGAGTGTTTAGTGTGATGAGTGACGCAGGACAGCAGAGGAAACAGTGTCTTTTAACCACACTGTCTTAAAAACTGAAAACAGCTTTTTGGGCCATCTCTTGTAACTATGAACTACAAATGATAGCCGATCATGTGCTAAACTCAGCTGCATTAGTCTTAATGCCCAGAGCAGTTTTGATACATTTTGGACAGACTGCTCACTAGCCAGCACACTGTGGTTTATTCCTGCAAAATGAATGCAATAGAGAGTGTGCTAGTTAGCCATCCAGAGCAGGAGGAAAAGCATTTGAACTGCACTGGATGACTAAACAAAAGGACAGAGATGGTGGATTTGGACAGGATTAAAATCACTGAGAAACCCCGGTAATAATTACATTACCCCACCTCGCCATGTAAAACTAATCCTGTCTGAATAGTACTTCATGGAATTGAAGATGGGGAGAAATCTGCTGAATCTGAATCAATGTATTACTCAGTGGTTATGAAAGGGTATTAAACCTGCATTAGGAGCTTTCTACTTCTGCAAACCTGCATTTTTCGCATGATGATGTTGTCAAAAGTAACATTAAGTACTACAGCTTTTTCCCCAGATTCAGCAAAACCTCAACCAATGAGATGTCAATCAACAAACCTCCTTGTACACAATAATAAGAGATATTTGAATCTCCCTCACTCAAAGAACTGAGAAGCAGCAATGCTTCTAAGACAAGAAGAGTTCTTTTTCTCGCTTATTCCAATAAGAACATGGTAAATGCCAAACCAAGTCAAACCAGTTACAGCCCAGCTTCACGCAGAAAACACACTGTGGAAGCTCTTCTTTTCTTTTTTGTTCTTTTTCTTTTTTTTTGGAAGATGCCATCCTGACACATTGACACACCAATCAGATAAAAGTTCCTATTGGCTGGCAGGTGATAGGAAAGAGAGCATGATTGGTCGACTCACCGGGTTGCCAGCTTGTGGCAGACGACGCCGCTGTCTGTGATGACCTCACTCAGGCGCAGTTCCAGGTGAACCTTTCCCTGTGGAGAAACGGGATGGCGTTACCATGGTTACACACACCACCCAACATGAAAAAGTGAAGAAAAATACAAAAAAGAAGCAGTAAAGTGAGAGAGAGAGAGAGAGAGAGAGAGAGAGAGAGATGAGTGCATGTTTCCTCAAGGTCTGTGGTGGGTTGTGTCTCCCAGAACAGCTGAAGAAGCTTCTTCGTGACAGGACTGGAGGAATGGTATTACAGAATGAGGTGAAATATGATTTATGGAAGTTACATGCAAGGAACCTTCAAATAACAGCAGATCTCGTAATCCAGGACATGAGAAAAAAAGAAAATAATGTGACAAAAGCAATTTAATTCACACAATTACATACCAAACGTCAGAGCTGATCAACTGGGTTAAGTTTAAAAACTCACCAAACCATTTCTTTAACTGCATAAACAGTATCAATGTGTTAGTTATATCTATATATCTATATAAGTATAAGGGTGTGCGTGTATTTGTGTGTGTTTGCGTGTGAAAACCATTTCTGGGCTTTAAGAGCTGCACTGTCAGCCGACATCATCAATATGCAAATGAGCCTTGGGAGGCGGCTGGGGACTGTCTCTCTCTCTCTCTCTTACTCTCTCTCTCACATTCCCAAAACAATGCGTTCTCTATGAGACGGGAGAGAGATGCTCTATCTCTCCCCTCCATTTCAGCCCATCCCTCTCTCTTCCTCCCTCACAATTGCCAATGAATACGGCTGTGTTGCTTGAGATCCGCTTTAGGGCAAAACTAGCCGACTGAATGCAGATGTTTCTTCAGGCTGGAGAGAGAATCTGAGTGTGCTCATGCTGTGGCAGTGCGACAGAGCTCAGTGAATCTTCCTACTTGTTCTCTCTGAAGTGATTTCACACAAGTTAGGACAAGGGAAGTGCATTTAGTATACAGTACAAGTTCAAAGAATTTTAAAGGTTTCCCAAAATTTTTAGTCTGATTATATTTTCTTGTCTTTCCTTGATGAAATGTAACGAACACTCAAATAGTGATTTCAGTATTCGAATACTGGCAGCCCAAGTACTCATGCACATCGCTAGTTAGCACACCTTCAAGTTAGGGGGTTTGCAGCAATAATGAAATTTTATACTACAGTTGTCAGATCAAAGGTTTGGTAGTCAATATCAGTGAAATATGACAATTCTCAGTCAGACTGTGCCATTAAGCACCATCTTTTGTTGATAAATTATGGCTGTATGATTGGAATCAGCCAAGATCACACTTGGCTTCAAACAGTCATTCAGCAATATCTGAATGCTGCTCCTACACTTGTACCAAAATGTTGTAGCATAATTGTGCGAAACAGCCAGTTGACTCTTACTGTCAATGTAGCACTTTATTTTATTAATGTTATTTAAACTGGCAACTAAATTTCATCGAATCTTCACCAAATTTATTTTTAATTCATTTTTGGTCCATTAAAGTGCAGATAATGTTACATATGTTGCTATTTTGACTATTAAATAGTCCTGGGAATGTGTAAGTGTGTTTCAAGTTGTGCTTGAAGTTTCAAAAAAGCCTAACCAAAAAACGGCCCAAACAATTGTCCATGGGCCAATCTGGCTGTAAAGAGATCAGAACCGGCCACCAGCTATCCATTCAAATGATGGCAGTTGTCTTTACAATGTGCAGAAACCACAAGCAACAATGTGATGTTTGGACCAAATGCAGTCAGAGGTAGTTCTCAAAACACGTACTGGTTAAGAGCTGTAGTTAGTTGCCAAAGCTAACTGAGCTATACAAACTCTTTCTGACTCAAAAAACATAATTTTTGCTCTGAAATGTCTTTTTTGTTTCAACTGTACTGGTGGTCGCTGTGCGGCAGCAGAGTTTCTTACTTGACAGGATTATACCACAACAGTACCACAACTACTAAAGAAAAACAAAACTCTTACATGTTTCAATTTTGGTACTTGGCCACTTAATTTTTCAGCGTTTAGTGTGTCCAATCTTTGCCTTTATTACAGCTTTATTACATTGCTTTCAGCTTTTCAAAGACATCTGCAAGGATATTTTTCCACACCTCCAAAGTTCAGTCTTAGAAGTTGGTTGTACCTTTTGCTTCTCACAATCCAAGTGCTCTCAAACAAATTGTGATGCTGATGTCTGGACTCTTGGGTGGTCAGTCCATTGTTCTGAGAACACCAGCAGCTTCTTTGTTGTCTTCTTTTTTCTCTATGTCCCTTTCTAAGTAAGGGCTTCTTGATATCTACACATCCTTTCAGACTCACAGGGTTGAGTTGCCTTCTCACAGTGGAAGGATGGACAGAAACACCTATGGAAGCTTTCGGATCTGAAGGAAGAGTGGAGCTTGATTTTCTCTTCTCTCTCAAAGAAAAAAGCTTTATGAACTGTTTATCTGTGGTGACAGTTTAGTTGGTCCATTAAGTCCAGTATTGGAGCCGGTTTTCTCACTTAGTTCACTTTTAGATCTTATATGTAATCTCCTTTAGAAATATTTCTGCACAGTACTGTATATACAGTGTACTTACTTTTATCAATAACTATGTTGATGCAATATAAATTTTTCATACATATATAATGTATACATTTGAATCAAGTGAATTCAATGCATCACCAGTGCTAACAGGAGTGCAAAGCATAGAGAATGGCGTGGACAAGAAGGGACAGTTGATTTTAATCTGATTCCCTGTTTGTGGTCAATACGGTCTCTGTTTGGCGTTCCGCTCTGCTCGCAGTCCAACACACACGCACACATACACACAGACTGCTGTTGTGCTGAAAGAGAGCGAGGGCGACAGAGAGACACAGCATGCTTTCTTTTGTTTTGGGCAATGCAAATGCAACAGAGACAGAGTGCACTAGATATAGAAAGGAAGGAAGAAAGAGTGTGAGAGTGGGGGAGAGGGCAGGGAGGATTCATTAAACGAGTGCACCCACCTGCACCTCTGAGTCTGCGCTGACAGGCTGCAGCTGAAACCAGGTGTCTTTGCCATGATACTTCTGCAAATCCTCCTTCTTCACTGCTACTTTGCCTGAGGACACACAACCAATTCACAGCACAGCTTTATCAGCCACAGCAAATCAGACTGGACACAAATAACAGTATGCAGCAATAAAAAAAAATAATCAAGATTTCAACAAATAATGAATCACTGCTCAGAAACTACATTTTTGTAAAACCTCTCAGTTTAACTGGGTTTTCTGCAAAATAGAAATCAGTGAAATCTAACTGGCTTCTGTAGACTGCTACACATTTTTTGCCCATTTGCCCAGTAACATATTTGAGGTTACTTAATAACCTGATATGATTTAAGGTAAGTGTGTGATGATTTAGGCGTGCAGTTTGCACCATGCTAAAAAGTGCTCAAAGACTTCCATTACTTGAAGACTACATTAGCCTCCAGTGCAAAACTAAAGAAGCAAACTTCAGACACCAAACATGTCTTATCTGATAAACTACATTTGTAAGTAACTGTGAAAATGTATATTTTCAACGAATGATTCCTGTTAGCAAACGGAGATAATGGATCCTCTGCACAGTATCTAAATGTAAGTCCTGCAATCTGTTCTGCTGGAGAAAGTGTCTCTGTGGTCACAGCACTGCAACAGATGAAGAAGGCAATGAATGTACAGAAATAATACATCCAACTACTGTGAATGCTGTTGAGACCGGGGTTATTAACTGCCATTAAGGGAGATTCGTCACAGAATGGAAGAGCCAATCATTTGTCAGTCTGCCTGAAAGCATGTGACTACTCAGAAAACACACAGCAGGAAGATCTTCACACTCATCTATCTCATCAGCAGTGCTGTACGTGGCGTAAAATGCTTGACTGCAATGTTGTAGTTGTACTACTAGAAGAAAGTGTGGCCTTTTGCTATTACTTAAGTTAACTGCAAGTCCCAAGATCTTAATTAATTGGGCAGCCCTTTAAAAGTGACAAAAGCAACAGTTGAAGACACTAGAGATGTGCACAGGTACCTGAGTACTTGGTTAACCGGTACCAGCACTAGATCTCTGAAATCACTATTTTGACATGTTATGTCAGGTAAAGTAAGGGAGAATATACACAGGCCATTCAAACACAAGACCAGAAAACAGACGGATTTCTTAAGAACTCTTGTGGATCCTTGACAAAGAGTTTCAGAGTTAAAGGCTTACTGAGTACTGTTTTAAACAAAATATTCATAAAACTAGGGAAAACGAGAATTCCTCATCTCCGGCTTATTACATCCAAAGGCCTACTACTCAGTAACTACAGAGACTTCAATGCAAACTGGCTGAGCTATTTTTAGGTTATAGAAGTGTGTAATAAAACTTTAAATTATACTTTGCTACAAAGTGCCTGGTGATGGTTAAGCAAGTCACCACAGAATCAGCCCCTATTGATGGTAAAAATGCATTTAACATCCTTCATTTATTGGTGTACCTTATGCAAACCATAGCAAGAGACTAGAATTCCCACATGTATACATAACTGAACATAACTGGGTGAATTTATATCCTACATTAATACTACTTTTATTCTACCCAGATTCATGACATTGTTCTCAACACTCAGCTGTTTATCTACGCTGGTTAAAGGATTTCAAGCATGCAGAAAAAGCCATTTCTAATACTGCATACGATTTAAGACGTTCAGACCACAGCGTCAGGTTCAAACAACAGACAAAACAGCTTGAGGTCTCACGAAAAAAACAAGTGAAATTATGTCACAACTCTCGTACATCAGGCAAACAGGAAGAAGGCATCAGAATATATTAGTGGAAACTCTCAGACAGTGACGTTTATGTGACATCCACAATTCTGTTCTTTCTTACTAGACTGAATACAGATTTGCGGCCAAATTAAGGCAACCACAACTGTTACTGAACTGCACTTTATTAGATTCACTACATATACACTACACGTACATACACTACATTTTATCTACATCTTATTTGACAAAGATTAAGCTTCAGCTCTTCAGCTTTTCTCACACGTCTGCTTCAAAGTTAGGAACAGTTTCAAACAAGATCAAAAAATGCTGCTATTATTGCTATTTACTATTATTTTTAGTGTTATTGTTGTTTTTATTATTGCTATGTGTTATGGAAGTTAAAAAAAAACACAACTGCCTTATCGTATGAGCTTTGCCAATGATGAGTTATTAAGGACAAAAAAAAAGGAGCGGGAACACAGTAGTACCTCAGTAGTACTTTAATAGGCTATCTACTCCAGCTGGCATTAGCTAGAATCAAAAGGAAAAACAATGAGAAGATATTTATCTGTTCTCAAAGCTATCATGACCTTGAACTAACATGGAACATCATCCACTAAGGAGAAAAAACTATGTTTAGAACAGGCATCAATATCTACTGCTGCACCAGTTAGTTCTAGTAGTAGTCTAGTATTATCTATCTAGTGTTATCTATGGTTCCTTCAAAACAGCCTCTATTTTTTAAATAATAAATGTTTTCAAATGATTTCAAGTGTCTTGCTACTGATTTTTTAGGCATTAGTGTACCAGCTAACTGTGTTTGTGTGTTATGATTTGTTAAAACCAGGCAAAATGTAATTTTTTTTCTTTTCCTGGGTTAACCAGGTATCCATTCATTATCCTTTATGGATGCTTCAGTAACAAAATTAGCCACCTAAACTTAAAATGGCATTCATTTTTATTTATATAACTAACATTGCTTGTATTATTATTTCCTTTGTCGGTATGGACTGTTTTTGTCTCTCTCTAAATAAAGAATATAAAAAAAAGAAACAGCATTCATCTATCATACATCCAGAAAACTCTCTCACACACACACACAAACTCAACACATCTGGACTGAAGCCCAGCAAAAACACTATAGCAAACACAATCTAATGTTGGAAACTGCCTTCACGCTTTCCTGAAAAAGAACTGACAAACCAAATATACAAGTGTGAAATGGAAGTGAACATGTGAAGAGTTCCATAAAAACCCACACTGACAAGGCACAGTATTCTGGCCTGTGGCTTGCTGGTGTTTGCCGGAGAGTGTTGAAAATGTAAATTCAGACTGATTAATGGAGGAAAAATGAATCTTAATATCCAGTCCTGCATTTTCTGCTCATATAGGCCTGATACTGATCCTCTATATTGGACTGGTGCCATCCCAAACACAAATACTGTTTTGTAAAAATATTCACTGATTAAATTCAGCAACTGACCAATTGCTTCTATTAATTATGTCTTAAGTCAGTCGGTTCAGTTATTCTTTACCAAGTTCATGGAAACCAGTCAAAGTGATCATCTATGTTAATCGGCCGTACGCTACAAGTCAAGTCCCCTGAGCAAGCTAATGGCTACACTGTCAAGGAAAAGCTCCCTAAGTCTGGGCGTTCACTACACGGCTTTTAACATCTAAATAGATTTCTAAAACGGAGAGCATCACAAACTTAACGTCAGTTTGTCACAGAACTTCTTATCTTTTTGCCGTGAGGGCACTCACACTAGACAACAAAGCAAAGAGAGAGTATAACACACATTACGGGTTTGGGCTACGAATAAGAACTCAAACTCCCAGATCTCCTCAGAGATCACATGACACAAACAGAGCTAAACTTACTGGACCGGACCTGTTTGTGCTTTTATGAGTAGCGAAAGCGCAAACTGGGGATTAATATGGGGCTGAGAAACTCTGATATTACCGTGATAGCTGGAGAAATGCTTCACCACAAACTGGCAGCTGAGCTGAAATTGTAAAGAGAGTGACCTGACGTCCAGATCCACACATTATAAACATGATAACGGCTTGTATCTGCCTATGTTTTACGTGCAGCTCCTCTGTCTCCTCGCTCCGCTGTTCAGGCAGTGTGTATGAGCATCTCTTCACCTGTTTCTCCGCTCTTCTAGCTCTCTGGTTGGCTGTTGTTTGAATAATTAGTTGAGTAAATCACTGACCTTCTCACACTACAGGACTCGTGAACATTTTGAGTCATGAATATCAAACATGTTTGATAATATCAGAGGGCTAAAGATTCACACGTTTCTCCTCTCACACTACCAGATAATCCGCTCCGTCAGTCGCTTCCAATCGAGCTCCCGACCCGGAAAATCACTTCAGACTGTGTAAGTTTGTCACAAGGGGCAAATCGGGATTAAAATCAGGGAAATAATTGTGTAGTGTGGGCCCAGCCTAAGAGCAAGAGGAAGAAACCTTGAGAGAAACCAAGACTCAAAAACCAAGACTCCTCCTCTGGTCGACACTGGATAGCAAACAATAACACAAGAGCATCATGAACAATATGAGAATAAGGTTTTAACATTAGTGTAAAATACTGAAATACAGAAAAGGGGAAAGTAGATGAAGCAATGTTTATGATTAGATAATTCGAGTCTGTGCAGCATCTGCATCAGGAGGGTCGGTTCACGCAGGTGAGGTTTGCACAGCATTGTACAGGAGGTTCATGGTGGTTAAACTAGTCGAAAGGGTGGGTGACCAGTGGGTACCCGATCAAGGAAGATAAAGCAACAGCATCAGACCGCAAAGGATGGGCAGCTAAGAGATACAGCAAAGAGAGATTAGCTTGATAAAGGCTGAAGTATTCCTTTAATTCCTCATTATCATAAACCTCACATTTGTTTACACTACAGAAACAGCAGAGATAAGGAGGGAGAGCGAGTGAGATAGAGCTAGAGAGCGTGCCGCTCACACGTGCCCAAACCCACATCTGCTGGCCTTGTTCTGCTTCTTAAACTGGCACACAACCACAACATGGGTACAGTTTAGATCACACACAGTCTGTACCACTGTGCATGTGTGGGGGTGAACATTAATGTCCTATTACTCAAACCTGCACTTCAAATCAAGAAATCTTGCAACGAACGTGTGTTACTGAGTGGTAAGCCTCATGATTCTGCACTTCTGGTTACGGTGTGATAATAAATCCTAGCAGATTTCACTGTTGTTCTGTATTGGGCACTGAGTGAGTGATAAATCACAGAGAGCAGCTGCTTCTCTACAGAGTGAATCTGTATTGAAAACAGTCTCTGCCACTAACTGAAAACTACTGATTC